TATGTTCTTTATGTTTACTTTATGTTTACTTCAGTATCAATTGAAGCTTACATGATGGATGTGGATTATCTTGTGATAAGAAGTTATACGCATCAGGATGTAAATTGTTTCGGAAGATGATAAATTGCTTTCTATGAATCATTAATTTACTGCACAATTATACAATTCAAATTGTCATGTACAGCTCCCTTCAAAAAATAAATGTTAGCATTGAACTCAGCATTTTTTTTTATCAAGAGCTCCGAAGTACAAAAGGCATTTTTAATGTATTCTTAATTAATGATTGGTCAACTGAAAACCATCCCAATATGGCAGGGAAAGCAGGCTGAAATATAAAAATAGGCTAAGAATGGAATACTCATCTATATGCTTAAAAATGCAGTCTAATCTGAAGGTATTCTATTCAATCTTCTGTTCAGCAGAAATAATAGAAAGCATGAAATGTGTTCCTTTTACTAACAACTAGATACCTTAATAAAAAGAAAAATAAGAACTGCTGCTTTATTCAACTTCAATTATCTTGTAACGTTAAAAATGAACCCAACATCAATACACATTTTCCTTTTTTTGGTTGCTTAACTGAGTCAAAAAAAAAAGCTGCCAATTGTATGGCAGAATTAATGCTTATAATGTATTTGAAAAGATGCTAAAGCAGGCCTTGCACACCAGCCAAAGAGGGCACCTGGGCAGCAAATCTGGAAAGCAGTCTGAAAATGGACCAACAAGAGATATGGTATAGCAGCCCTTAGAGAAGAAGTATTTTTTGATCTGTGATCAAAAACTTTGCATTGTGTATATTCCTATGTATGCAATCTTTATAAAGCCAACAAACATTTCAGTAGATCAATGCAGCCTCCACTGCTTCTTTTTGCACTGAATTTTACTCTCTGTTGAAAAGCTTTTCAGGAAGCATTAATTTTTGGTGACCTCTCTCTATAATACTCCTTGGCATGATTCTTTCGGTCCTGAAGGTTTTTCCTTGCATCAGCTGCTGTCTGGGGTGCTGCTGGATTCCAATTTCCAACTTCACTCATGGTTGCTCTTCACAAGCTTCCAATGTTAGGAAAGCTCTTCAGCTTTTCAGGAAAGTCATCTTTGTATAAGACTGGATCCGCCCGGTGCTCTACCACTTTCAGAGGCATGGTCCCAAAGACAGAGGCAAACTTGTTAATACATTCGGACCTGGGGGAGGGTGGAATAAATGAAATGCTTATAAACAGATTGCCCCTCTGTATATTTATTTAACAACCTGTTGTTTGCAGCTCCCCCTTTTATGTTCTCTCCAATTATTTAATATTTAATTAAACAAGAGCAAAGCAAACACAAAACACATGGACATGGTTTCCTGTTAAAGGCAATGGTTCCCCTCACATATATGTGCTAGTTGTTCCCAACTCTAGGGGGCAGTGCTTATCTCCGTTTCAAAGCCAAAGAACCAGGGCTGTCCGAAGACTTCTCTATGGTCATGTTGCTGGCATGACTAAATGCCAAAGGCACATGGAACACTGTTACCTTCCCACCAAAGGTGGTCACCCTTTTTCTACTTGCATTTTTTACATGCTTTCGAACTGCTAGATTGGCAGAAGCTGGGACAAGTAATGGGAGTTCACCCCATTACGCAGAACTAGGGAGTTGAACCGTTGAACTGCCAACCTTTCAACTGACAAGCTCAGGTTCTTAGCCACTGAGCTACAGCGTCCTTGTAGGGTTTCCTGTTAGGACATTGCAAATTCAATAAAGGTAGCATCTAAAAGATTGATGTTATTATGATGCCTTCCTACTGTTAGAAGTAGGAATGGGAATAAAGGTCTCTTCATGCTGGAAAGATATGAATCTCTATGACTGATGTATATAATCAAGGCAAAGAGATAAAGAGATGCTATCAACTGCACATGTATGCAGAGTGGTCAGACTTTCATTAGCCCCTCTCCAGCAGAATTCCAGAGATTCTTAAAGCAATGCGCATGCTGCAAACTATCTCTTAAACTGTCTCTGCCAGGTCAAATTTGGCACTACACAGGGCTTGCAAAAATAAGCCTGTAGGTAACAATAGACATACAAAAATACTTCTCTGGCTTTTTATTTTTTTGAAAATAACTACTGGAATTTACTTCCTTTATGTTTTCTAAGCTAATGCCTATGTTTGAAAGCTTAAGTTACAACATTTCTTTAAGAGCTAAAACCCAAAACTGACTAGTTTATTTTCATTGTCCAAACTCAATGACATGAGGTTTTTTTTTTTCATTCAAAAATGTGCAAACATTTTTAAAAAGCATGTTGGATTCTTATTCACCCTACTTATAATGTCACTTCTCTCTATAAGGCTAGTGGATGACTGAAATAAGAAAATACATACATGTTAGAGGATGTAATACATTTCAGCTATCAGTTTGAAAAGTACATTTCAGTGACATGAAATAATATGGCAAAAGGTAAATATCTGTTAAGGAGTAGGTACATTACTCTTTCCTAAAAAATGTCCACTTTAATAAACTTATTTATCTGCAAAATCTGTCCCAAATGTCTTTAATTAGTTGATGCTTTCAAACCTAAAATTGATATCCAAGAGCAAACAAAAGGCTCCACATGATGCCCAATGAGGCCTTCAAGAACCTCTCTCAGAATTGTTACAGAATTGAACTTTTTAATCATGCAAACAAGGGAAGCAAGTTAGTTAATGTATTTATGAAATTTATAGCTGAAGAAACTATGTTTGTTATATCTCATTAGTGGAAAACAAATTTAGATTTTTTTTCTTAGTTTTCCAATGGCTGAAACAGGATAGTTGGATCACCACTTAGAAATCAAGAACGCAAAAAGGAATATGCTCCAGCCTTGTACTTCATGCATATCAGACTTTCTCAGCATACTTAAATAATCATTGTTGAAACAAAGGCAGTTTTAAGATGAAGCACCTAGTTACTGCAATTCAATAACCAAAAGGCGAGGCAATTGCAATAACATCCATTTTCATTTTAATGATATATAGTGATATATAGTAATATCATTTTCTAGTGTGAAAACTGTTACTGTTTTCCTTGAATATATGTACTGAAAATTACTCTTCATATTTATCCATTGCCCCCTTGTTTATGATGACAAACAGTAGTCAATTAAGGCTTGCTGAAACGGCCCCAAAAAATCTTAAACCAAAAATTGGTTTAAAAAAAAAAATTAACCCGGTTTCAAAAAGCAGTAATACCCAAACTGAGAAACCATAAACTATATGCAGGTATTATTTTAGGAATACAGGAATTCATATATATTTATCTGAAATCAGATATGATTATATGTGGCATACGTTACACCAATATAACGTTATACATTTTACCAATTCTCTCACTCTTAATATGGTTTTTCTACATGGACCAATGGATTTAGCTGAAATTTGGACACAATCAGCTAATCTTTTAAAGGATAATATGACAGTACATTAAATACTGGAAATGATAAAAGAACAGGATGAGACACTCACCTTTCTACCATGTGTGTTTGATCTAAGGATAACCCATCGATGGCTGTGCATTCTGGACATTTGAATTTCTTTCTGGGTGTCACCTATATAAGGACAGTATAACTACAGACTTAACAATCAGGCATTAATCTGGCTACTAAAAATGCAATTTTTGAAATGCAATCTATATATTAAAGTGAAAATCAAATTCTTAAATATGGAGGAAAAATATATATTCATACCATTTTCTTAGCTGACTGCAAAGCTCAAAGTAGCCCAATTTTTTTAAAAAAATTATTGGAGGGGTTTTGCCTGCTGTAAGTGGAAAGTAGCAGTGATGACAAGTTCTTAATTCCTGTTTAATGACTGTTTTCTCACTGCCAAGGTTCCTGTATAAACACTATTTGTTCTTACAGCCATAAAAGTGATGAAATATAGTTTCCCATACTTCACCGTAACCTTAATCCAACAGACACACTTTGCTCATTTAATTGCTGATTGGCAAACACTGAGAGGCTCTCCCAACTGTACAACTTAGCAGTGTGTTAGCACAGTTTGGATTTCTCACAACAAACACACATGCTTTATCTTTTAAGGCTTTTCTCAAAACTATAACCACTAGTTTGGGCAAAAGTTGATGGGCAGCCAGGAAAACAGACCTTGCTAACTGAAGAAATGCCTTGAGACCTCTAAATCTCATTCCAAGTTGTCACATCTCAAAATGACCTGAATGTGAGGTTCTAGGCCAAAAATGTATTGAAGCATATCAGGAAATTCATTCAGGGATAAAAGTTCATATAAAAACTGATCTTGCAATTAATGTTTTTGCAGTGAACAGTCTAATAAATCAGCTTTTGCAGCTAAAATAGACAGAGATGGATTGTTCCTTCACATTCCCCACCTCTCTTAAATCTTGTTTTTTTTTTTAACTAAATGGCTTAAATTTCTGCAATTACTAAGGAAACTAAGGAGTTCTGCAACTATCTGGTCACAGTGGTCACAAGCAATAGAGTATATTCATAAGCAAAAAATGTATGGATGTGGAGAGTTAAGTCTTTTACAAATAGATGGGATCATCTTCAAAATGGATGAGAAAAGATGCACAGAGCTCTAATAAGCTATGTTTGAGCTGTACATAATCATGAGATCTATGACTGCTATGACTCTATGATAGATGATAGAACCTAAGGAACAATTGAATAAAACCTCACCTTAATAACTGCTTTCCCAGTTACGTTGGCCACTAGAAAATTCATGGCAATGTCTTCACAATTCATATGCGCATCCACCCAGTTTTTGATGTCCCCAGGCATTTTATATGTGTATAAGTAATTAAAATACTGAAGAATAAGAAAATAGCATAGAGATGAAATGTTTAGTTTTTATATCTGGCACTAATAAAACTTGATGTGAAATGAGTATCTAATGTACTAGTTTATCTAAAACATATTTTTAATGTGCCCTATTAGGTGTATTTCTATAGTTCCATCGAGTGGTATAGTAACATCACTGAGGTATATAATACCAAAGAATCAAACCAAATGAGGATGATGTTTTATGAGGATGATGGTAAGAGAACACCTAAACAAGTATTCCAAAGACACAAATCCCTTTTAATCAGGCAATGTAAGTACCGTATGGGGCAGATCTATGTGGCAATAAAAGATCTTTAACACTGCAAACTTTGTTATACTTTTGTTTATATTTGAACTTAGATTTTTTGTGGGAGACAAAGGGCTCCATTGATCAATTCCATTGAATCTTATCTACCACCAATTTGCCTTGACCATTAGTAGTTCAGATCCTTGTAGAAAGGTAGCATGAAATAAACCTGTACTCATTTGAACAACCCTGGTTCCTGATTTCTTGTGCCTGACAGCGGTCCCAATTATGCTCACTAGATGAGACTACCTGCACAAGTGGGAACCAAGAAAAATACAGTATTTGAATGTAGAAAGATGTTTAAGTATTTTATCAAAACACAATTACTGATCTTTATATATCATATGTCCATATATCATGATTATATTTCACATGTCCAAGAACATATAAAGATCAATGCCACATTTTTCTATAAACCCTTATTTCCCACTTTTTGAATATAAGGATTCTTTTCCCATGACAACCTTAACAACTTTAAGATGTATCAATATCAACTCTCAGAATTATCCAGCTACAATTCTGGGGTTGAAGTCCATACATCTTAAAATTGTTGAGGTAAAAATACTGTCCTAGTCAACTCTAAGTGAGTTCATAATTTCAGCTTCCCATCTGTTTTTGGAATCAGCTCTTTACCTTGTGATAAAAGGCTGCCCCTGTTAGCACCATTGAGACTTCATTGGTCCACTCTGATTCATACTTCCATTTACTTGTTTCATGGTCCCATAAATGCAGGCGGCCAGGATAGCCAACTAATCTGTCAGGGAACTCTCTCCACACCTGCAGAATATAGTAAGTGAATCAATATATTTTAGTAACACAAAAACATTACAAGAACAAATTAAGACTGAATATATATGATAGAGAGTGTTGAAGCAGAAGCAAGAAATGACTGAATGTATTGCCAATGTAGTTAGCAATAACAATAGCACTTAGAATTTTATACCGCTTTACAGTGCTTTACAGCCTTTCTAAGCAGTTAGCATATTTCCCCCAACAATGTGGGTCCTCATTTTACCACCTCAGAAGGATGGAAGGTTGAGTCAACCTTGAGCCTGGTAAGATCTGAACTGCCAAATTGCAGGCAGCCGGCAGTCAGCAGCAGTAGCCTGCAGTACTGCACTCTAACCACTGCACCACCGAGGCTCAGTTAACACAGATAGCATCTCTTTCTCTACCATATACCCATCAGTGGTGGAATTCAAAAATGTTTACTACCCATTCTGTGGGCATGACATGGCTTGGTGGGTGTGGCTTGGTGGGTATGTCAGGGGAAGGATACTGTAAAATTTCCATTCCCATCCCACTCCAGGGAAAGGTTAGTGCAAAATCCCCATTCCCTCCCGATCAGCTGGGAGGCAGAGAATAGATGGGGGCAGGGGGCAGTCAGCGGTTATATTTACCAGTTCTCCAAACTACTCAAAATTTCTGCTACTGGTTCTCCAGAACTGGTCAGAACCTGCTGAATACCACCTCTGATACACCTATCTGATTTATACTGTTCTTGGAGAAAGTATCTTAGGAATGGCTCTGTTTTTTTCATAGAGCAATGATCCACAAGCTCTTGTTTTTTTATTTTCTGCTCTTGTACAAAAGGGAAATTTGTCTCCACAACTGTGGCAATGTATTTATTTACTAATTTATTTGATAAATTTATATAGCTGCCCATCTCACAAATGTGATTCAGGGCCGTGAACAAAGTTAGAAAAGAAATAACAAAAACAACAAATAATATAAAAATACAACAAAAAAACATTAAAAACCTTTTCAATATTAAAAGTACAGGTAGTCCTCAACTTACAAGTTTGTTTAGTGACCATTTGAAAAAAGTGACCTATGACCATTTTTCACACTTACAACCATTGCAACATCCCCATGGTCATGTGATTTACATTCATATGCTTAACAACTGGTATTTATGACGGTCACAGTGTCTCAGGGTCATGTGACCATCTTTTGCGACTTTCTGACAAGCAAAGTCAATGGGGAAGCCAGATTCACTTAACAACCAGATTACTGATTTAACATATGCAATGATTCACTTAACATATGTGGCAAGAAACATCGTAAAATGGGACAACACACACTTAACAATTTTCTCCCTTAGCAACAAAAATTCTGGGCTCAATTGTGGTCATAGGTTGAGGACTACCTGTAGTAAAACCATTGAATCTAGAAAGCTTAATTCCCCAAAGAGATCAGAATGCAACAGGTTCAGCAGAAGCAGTTTTAAGCAGGGAAGGAAGGAGAGAGGAAAGAAAAAGCCAAATGCGTCATCAGTAGCTATGGAAAAGTTGGCAAAGGAGTATCACTTAAGGGATTGCAGAAACTTTTCATCCAGTAGAGCCAAGGGCATCTCTGACTCAACCCTGACTGTCTTGCAATAGTCCTTATTATAAGAAACTGATCTACTCTAGGAATTATTGGGGCTTTGATAATTATGATTATGTGCCATCAAACCAATGTAAACTCTTAGCAACCACATGAATGAGTTTCTCTAGGATAAATTGGGGCCATTTGGTGGTCATAATTCCTTTCACTAACTGGTAGGAAGGCATCTGTTCCCTGTCCTACTTTCTAGCAGTCTGGGAGTTAGGATTGCTGCCTGGGCAGTATACAAAGGCAGGCAACTTGCTTTTCAAAGCATCAAGCTAGCATGTCCAACGTGGAGAAAGATTAATGGACATAGAAATCAAAAACACCAATTATCAAAGTTACATTTTGATAACAAATCGAAGATCAATAAATTGATATACTGCTTTCAGGAAAAAAGCCATTTCAATCACCAGTTTTACACAGGGCATTAAGATTTTTCTTAAAGAGTAATTTCCAGACTTCAAACTGCAAAATCTGGTTGACAGCAATACTAGATTCATTCTCTTACTTTAAAAATTGTAAGTATTTCAATATGTGCTTCATTGTTTTTGCACATTTCCTTTTACCTTCTTGTGAAGTAAAACAAAAATTGCTGGTGATTGGCAGAAATGTTGCATAGTCCTAACTGCTTAAGAGCCAAATGCATTATCTTCTATCAACACAACTCTGAGAAGTGTCTTTTTCCATCACGCAAAACTTCCACTTAAAATCACAGAGCTATAAATATGCTTCTGCATCTTTAAACAAAGGCTGTGGTGCTCTTATTTCAGTAGTTTTGCACTACGCAATAAATTATTAAGAATCCTAATAGTTCACTCTTAACAAGTAAAAAATGTCTGACACTTTGAGTGTTACTTTAATTTTTATGGCTGAAAGTGTACAGAGATCAAAGCGTTCCCTTCTTTTCTTCTTTTTTATAAGTAAGCTTGATCGATAGAGCCAGACATGTCTGTGCTGATACAAAGTTCAACCACATGTTTTAAAATAGGGTCTGGAGAATAAGGAGGGGAAGAACTTTACCAATATTCAATTCCAAATATTTTCCCTGAATGAAGAACCCCACCCCACCCCACCCCAAAAAAGAAATCCTCCTTGTAACATTACAGGCTGCTACCGTTCTTACACATTTCCTTTGTAAAAAAAAAAACAACCTCTAAGAAATGCATTAGACACTTTCATGGTGAAATATATAAACAGATAAATAAATTACTATCAGCTGAGGACAAGTTAAACATCTGGCAGCCAGCTCAGACCTGTCAAACAGGTCAAAGGCACTCTGGTCTGAGAAAGATTGATCTGCAGTCACTGATTTGTAGATTGAAGGTAGAAAGTACATTTATACATGTTTCTTTTATACTTTTCTAGAGAGCACACTTTATCCCTACTATTGAAAAAAAACCTCTGTTATATTGGCATTTGATATTTTCAATCACATTGCTGGAATTTTGCATCTATCCAGATTTGTTTTATGAAGTTATTTGAAATGCTTTCTGTATATTATTGCCTTAGAGAGCAAAACTTTTATAAACTGGAATTCATTATTTTCAAAAACAGCTTCTGTAAGAGGCACCACTCAAATAGAAGAAGCTGCATCCAAGGGGCATCAAGTTCATGCAAGGATTATCCAGATTGTTAAGCATTTGCACAATTTAAGCATCTGGACAACACACTTCAGACAAAATAGGTGAAAAGGTCCCGGAAGTTCAAGTGCAAGGCTTGGAACCGAAGTTCACTAATTCAGTTGATGAATTATTGTAATACCTGGAAAGGTAATTTAACGTTCTCAATATAAGCCAGACCAATGCCTATTACTACGCTCTCTTAATGTACAAGTGGTTTATTCAAATTAAATCAATGTACATTTAAAATAGCCATATCATTGAAATATCTTATTCCCTTTTAAAATAAATTATTATTTAGGTAGCTAGTTAGCTACTAGAGTTTGTGTGTGTGAGAGACACACAATGTGTGAGAGAGAAAGACAGAGAGAGCTTGATGAAATATAGACATACCAACTTGCGTCAAACAAAGGCAACCTAAACACAGTATACAATGCCCGTACAATAAGGATATGAGCATAATAAATGTAGAGAAAAATTCCTTATTATTATAGGTTGTCTTGATCTATAACTGTTCATTCAATGACTTTTCAAAATTATGGAAGAACTTAACGAAGGTACTTATGACTGGTCCCCAAAGTTACAATCATTCTAGTGTCCTACAGTCACATGATCAAAATCCAGACATTGGCAGCCTGCCCACACTTAGGACTACAGGAGTACTTCAACTCTCCCCACTCTGCTTTTCTTCCCCTCTCTTCATGCCCTTCTGGGCCCACTCACCTCCACTGCCCCTGGCCTCTTAACTGACCATGTCATCTTCTGGCTTTCACTGCCTACTAAGCATGCCCAGCCTGGCCCTTTGCAAAAGCAGTTGCTGGCTACACAAGGCTCCCTTCCCTAAACCGTGCATGGTGGTTTCAGAGGTCGTTTCATGTCACCAGCAGCAGCCTTGCCAAGGACCAAGTTGGGCATGTCTCACCACTAGCAAGAGCAAGAAGATACTGAAGGTTAGCTGAGGTGGTGCAGTGCAAGATGGCAGGGCCCTCCGAGTGCAGAATTTAGTTCTATGAATTTATACCACATAAAATTAGCAGCCTTCTTACCTCATAGCCAAACTGCAGCTCATCCGAGGTCAACATGATGATATCATCATCAATGGCTAACACAGCCTCTGTTTCAATCTCAGCATAGGGGAAGAATCGATTACTCAGTTTATTTTCTGTGGTTCGTACAACTGTTAATGGAACTCGAACTTTAGGCCAAACAGTTTCTGCAAAATAAAAATCAGAAGTAGTTTCTTTGCATTCCTATGTTTAGCTGAAATCATTAACATAACTCTCTCCAAATCAAGTCCTTTTATTCAATGCTGGTACTGGGGAGTGACTAGAACTAGGGCTACTATGTCTGGGTTGCAAAAACCTGGGCAATCACTAGATGGCAACAAAGAGATTGTTGCACCCGTATAAGTCATGAGTTCTATAATCAGGGTATCCTCATCAGAAGAACCCAGCAGCATTTGAACTGAAATTTCTAGATAGTCATAAATTGAGTCATACACAGAGTAAGATGCAATTCATTAAAAATGAAATTTCAACGTATGTTCTTCTGATTTCAGAATGGCTTCACGCTTAGGGTACATATGATCTACATTGGTAATGTAGCAGATTGTCAATAGATGATGAATGAAGCTATTCTAGAAATCTCTCTTTCCAAATGTTAAAAGTATGCTTCAAGAATGAAGGACATTTTCCTATTCAATTCAATTTGAGTTCTGTACCGTCTCAGTCATATCTGTTCAGTGAGTATGAGAGAATGGGGAGCAGCAAGAAAACATGCCACACAAATTGATGACTATTTGCATAGTAACACTGGTTTATAGACTAAAATCTTCAACACAAATCAACAAAAGGTGCATCCTATACTGGGCTAACACTGATTTATGGAACATGAAGACCCTACCCCAAATAAGATTTTTTGCTATACCACTTCACATTTGGATATGAAAATGTGAATGTCATTCTAAGTAACGACTGAAACTAGCTTTAGGTAAAGTTGGCAGAGGTCACAGCTTACCATTATATGAACATACATGTATAGAACAATCTAAGCTCCATCATGAAAGAAATGCTGGCAAAAACAGCATGGTAGGATATCCATGCTTGCTGCTAGGAAAATTATAGTTCTATAACGTACATAGAGTACCCTTAATAAGCATATAATGTTCTACACACTTCTGATGTTGGCATCCAAACATAATACCGGAGACAGCTTCCTTAGGAAAACTGTATCATTTTCCAAACCACACTTAAAAAGTATGTAAAGAAAGTTTACCTTGGAAGAATTTGGAGGGCTTTTTGGCTTGGTAACAAAAAAAGTAAAATCTACAGAGTGAAAAGGTTTGGAAATATCATTTCAGTTTCCTACTCCACCTACTTTTGTAGGTAGCCCCTAGAAAATTGCTTTTAAAAAATGTTTAATACTGTCAGTGAGGTCTTAGTCCAATTTTTAAGGTTTATTTTATTTTTTATTTAAAACATTTCTATAGCTGCCCATATATGTCAAACTCTGGGTAGTTCCCAATCAACAACTAAAACATCAGTAACAATAGCATAATACATACAGTCATTAAAAACATTTATTATTTATTTATTAAATGTATATGCTACCTGTCTCCCCTACAAGGTGACTCATAAATATTAAAGGAACCCGTTTGGTCTAGTGGTTAAGGCACCAGGCTATGAAATAGAAGTCCTAGTCCTGCCTTAGCCATGAAAGTTGACGTGGTGTCTCTGGGGCAGTCATTCTCTCTCTCAGCCCAACTCCCCTCACAAGATTGCTGCTGTGGGAAAAATATGAGAAGGAAGATGTGTCGGATATGTTCGCCACCTTGAGTTATTTGTAAAACAATAATGAATGGATACAAATAACTACATTAAAAAGTGCCACCAAAGTTATACCTCCAACATCTTCCTTAAATTCTCTCATCCACGTCATTCTCTGCCAGTGCTTGGGGAGGGGGAGGGGGGAGAGCCAGATATTAAGTGCTTTTTAGATGGCTAGCATGGTAGTGGACTACCAAATTTCAAGGTAAAGGGTATTCCACAAGGCTGCCACAGTAAAGACTCCTTCTTAGATCTCAATCTCAAGACAAAGTTTTGTATATGGAATTTAATTTACTATCACTGATATTATTTTCAATAGAAACTCCCCTATTTGCTATATAAAGGAATATCAATCAGAATGGAAAAATATAGGTAGTTCTACAACAATTTGTTTAGTAAACGTTCGAGGTTACAAGGACAGTGAAAAATAGTCACTTATGATCATTTTTGACACTTATGATTGTTTTAGCATCCCTGTGGTCACGTGATCAAAATTCAGATGTTTGGCAACTGGCATGTATTCATGATGGTTGCAGTATCCAGGGTTATATAGATTACCTTTTGCAAATTTCAATGAAAGTCAATGGAGAAGCCAGATTCACTTAACAACATGTTACTAACTTAATTGCAGTGATTCACTTAACAACTGGGGCAAAAAAGATCGTAAAATGGGACAAAACTCACTTAATAACTGTTTTACTTAGCAATGGAAAATTTGGGCTCAATTGTGATTATAAGTTGATTATACTGCCAACTCTGGGCCAGAAAATTATAAACTAAGAAGGAGGCACAGAGACAATTAAGTTTACCCCCTGCAATATTCCTAAATTCACATGCAAATACCACACTGGAAGGAAGTATATCTCTTGGAAAGGCCTGACTGAATGCACAATTTGGTCATTCTCTGGGATTTCGTACTATCAGTAGAAGCAAAGATGAACTTCTATCAGCTTTGGCTATATGTCGAAAAAGCAAAACTAATCATAGTTATTTCTGTATTTATTATACTCAGTTTAGATTTATATGGTAGTGTCTGTAAACATGATTCAGAAGTTCTGTTTGATACCAAACACAAGTGCCTATTTCTTGTGTATCTAAGTAGTACATAACATCTATTCTGAACTGGCTACATGAGATGGTAATACATTTTCTGGATTGCATTTAAGAATTTTGGTGATTATATTTAAAGATTTAGAATCAGGTTATCTGAAAAACTACTTACACTTATATGAAATTGCCTGAGTTCTGAGAAGCCCAGGATTATATGCCTTTTTACAAGAAAAAAAAACAAGATCATGAACCTAACAGGCTCAAAATGTCTTTAAACTGTTCTCCATCTATTCTAATGAACACTATCATTAGTTTTTTTACTTTGCCTACAGTTTGCACATATATTTTTACTATATATCTTGATTATAATTAAGCAGTAATAACACAGAAAGTGTTCTGTTTACAGAGATACAGCAGCCTTATAATAGTACTGTGAATAAGCTAAGAAACGTTATTGCTTCTATGCATAGCAAAAATAATAATAATACAACAACAGAACAACAGAATCCAGATCTGATTTGCTCCAAGTCAGAAATATGTTCCTTATATAGCAATAGCCAGGATATCCTGCTTGGATACTCAACCAGGTTAACAGTCCCAGCTTTACTATTACCAATTAAAAGAAAATAGCCATAAAGTGCAGATACTACCGTAGGGAAATAAACAAGACCTTATCGTTGACAGCAGTGTGCATTACTAACTTCAAACTCATTCCTTGTCCTAATCCATCAGAAACTTCCTGGCTTTAATAGGCTATAAATGGTAGAGGCTTTGAAGTCCAAGGATTAAGAGCTACAAGAGACAGACCCAATGAAAGCCTTAGTGAAGTCAACTTCTGCTGTCCTACCAAAAAGCTAGGTGGAATGAACTGTATGCATTTGAATTAAAACAAATTAAATTAAATCCTTCAATGGCAGACCAAAAGATTCCACAAGCTATCCAAGTGTTAAAAATACTCAGATGAAGGGGGTAATTGGCGGTCACATAAGAAAGTTATTAAAATATATACCTATAGATAACCAAATCTCTGTAAGAAGCAAACCTATGACCTTCAAAGCCATTACTTCTCACACCAACAAATTCTGATTTTTCATCAGCAGCTAACTAATGGCTATTCTAAGAATTATCGTGATGGGAAATATTTTCAACATAGTAAAAATTTTATTTTAAAAACAACCATGTTGCTATTAGTTATTGTGGACACATTGCAAGTTTAGCTACTTAAATATAAGCCCACAGCAGTAAAGAAGCCATAGTAAGAAGCCACTAAAATGCTTCCAACTTCCCAACCTATGTTTGGGATGGTGGTTTTTTTAAAATCCTTTTCGCCTATCAGTGATATGGAAACAGCCTAGTTGAGAAAACCTGAGGATTTATAGGTTGTTTATTTATATTTTTAAAAGTCTGTATAACTCACATGTAGTATGCAAAGGGGATATAAGAAAGAAACCAGCAACATAGTAAATAACTGTTAAAATGTCAGGAATACAAATAGCAATCACCACAAAGCTATTCTACAAGGCTTTAAAAACCAATTGCTAGAAGCTAGACACATAAAAACATTTTAGCCTGGTGCCTAAAACAAATCAATGTGGCGTCTGGCAAATATTCGTCAAGAAAACATTCCATCCCCACAAAACAGCAACTAAAAAATATGGTAAACCAATAGGACAGCAGGTTCTGTGTGTCCGTCCCCCTCCCAATGCTTTAGAAAAGATCAAAATTCTCAGAAAATAGGCAGGTTTTTATCTATATGTAGAGCTGTCCAGTGAGCATGGCTTGGAAAAATGTTCCAGTCAGAACACTGTCTGATAGATATTCAACTCAATTCACAAGAAAGTCTTCTGACTAAGACAACTATCAGGTAAAATTGAGACAGCAAGAATCATTTGTTCCTTAGAAGCTTTAACAATAAGCACTCATGATACAAACAAAGATCAGGAGTGACCCAATGACACTGGTTATTCTACCAAACTTTTCAGGTATGTATTGGACTTACCTTCTGGTGGAACTTTATTTTGATTGTTCCAAACAACTAACAATTTGGAAAGACTTGGAACCTTTGAAACTTCAGTGATCACTCGAAAGAGACTTTCAACACGATCATATGTCAAGACAATAGCAGTGAAGCCTTGTGACTGAGGTGGGATCAATGGGAGAAACAGTGGATTGCTTACACTGCTCCATTTCTAGAAAATAAAACATAGAAAATTAAAATAAAATCAGATTAATTATAATAGAAAAAAAATTCAAAACCGGGACACAAAGGAGAACATTTTAATGAATATCTTAATTGAGCCAAACAACAAATCAAACAAATCAAAGAAACATGTCTTTCAACAGCTATTGTTACAACAGGCAGGAGACCATTAAACATTACTTTTTATATATATTTTAGTTCATGAACGAACCATTAAGTATATTTAAATAAGCTGGAAAATGCTAAAGGATTAGTGGAAGACACACTAGAGGGTTTTAAAGTTTAGCTACTTTGGGTGGCTTCTGTCCAACACCTCTCTTCTAAACTGGCTGCTATATTAACTATACTCTGTATATTAACTAAAATTAGGTCAATAAGAAGCTGGATGCCACAATTTTGGAAGAACATGAAATAAAGAGAGGCAATTTCATAAACCTGACAAAAAGTAGGCCCCAATAAAAGGCAAAGACTTTCTTTGTCCTATATAGAAGAAAAAATATTAACTTAACAAAAATAGACTTGTTTCGTTGTTCTAAATATTAACTACTTAAGAAGTAAAGAACACAAGAAGATACATAAAAGTTGACACTTATTTAGTGTCCTTTGGCTTCATCAAGAATAATCTCCAAATACTTTAAAGGTTAATTTTTCAGTGCCAGCCAATATAACTAAACACAGGATACAGACGCCATTAGCACAATAACATAGAATTACAGGAGACATTTATGAATATCTTTCCATTCCTAGTTACTATACTGGTATGATGAAAGACAAAAATAATAGCTTAATATAAGTACAGAAAAAGCAGCTATATTAATCACTGAACCTGGACAATAAAAACAATAGGAAAACTGTCGCTGCCCAAAAAGATTTTTCACTTTTTAAAGTCACAATTGTCCAAAATACTATAACATATATATCTAAAAGATCTGGGCAAATAAATTTATTTGCGTAACATATGAGATTGTCTTAAATTTCAGTTCCATGTTAAAACCCTCAAAGTACATGGGATTATACTCCAAAGTGCATGACAATGTCCATATGTGAAGAGGATGAAGAATACATACAAACTGTATTGTTAGAAAATTGCAGTGATTTGAACAGTATAGTGCTATCTGTCTTAAGACCAATAGGAAAGTGATACACTGTAAAAATCTTTGATTTCCTCTGAGTCCTCCTTTTCCCTGTCTGTAATATTCTATACAGGAAGCCTTGTGTTTCTTTTTTAATGAAACAGCAATTATGCAATCCCTCTTTTTTAAATTCAGTAGAGTCTGAAAAGGAACATGCAATGTATTTTGCTGAATATGAATAAAAATGTCAAGGAGAAGATGCCTCTCAGTAGATGTTCACTCCTGGTAACTGTAGCTATACTACATTGTTTTTCAGCGGCCCTATTGAAAGAGAGTTTTCAATTTCTCAGTCTAACCAAAAGCTGTATAATTACCCAGTGGTGCTTCATCCAAATTCTACCCAGAGCGGAAAGTACTTTGCTTCTAAGATCAGCCAAGGATAGACATGCTGCTACCTTCAGAGGCATAGGTGTGCATGTTGGCCCTTAAAAGTTGTGAGGAAATAGCTTTGCCCAAATATAGTAAAACAATTTCCTTTAGAAGATAAATGACTAGATCCTCATTTTAAATGCTGATACGTGGTCCATATGATTGCAGCTGTGTGCAGAAGTCCATGGTTTATCCCTAGAACAGGATGCACTGAGGCTGGATTATCCATTTCCAGAAGTGTTTTCTTCCCAAACAGGAAGAGATTTGTGATGTTCTGGACATATGATTAAGGATTAAGAAGAATATCTTAAAAGTAAGGCTTGTTTGATGCAGGAAGATCAGTCTATGGGTTTTTCTATAATTGTTGGTGAGTACTTTTAAATAGAACTAAGCCACTCATCAGCTTTATAGTAACCAATTTTTGCATAAGCAAACTTGAACTGCCGAACTTCGAAGCCTCTATAATTCTCTATTCTTCTTTCCTCATAAAATCAACTATTAATTAAAAATGCCAAAGGCAATTAAAATAGATAGCAGAAGCTAATGCTAACTTCCAGATGCTCTGGATTATGAATTACATCATACCTGACCACTGGCCTTGATGGCTGCAGTTTATGAGAAATGTAATCCAAAACATCTGGAGGGAAGCAGTGCCTATCTCAGGTTGCTATAATGCAGGGGTGTCAAACTCGCAGTGTCACGTGATGTATCATGAATTTTCCCCCCTTTGCTAAACCGGGCAGGGGCGGGGCCAGCGCATGACACATCCGCCCACGGGGCGCGAGTGACACCCCTGCGATACTGCAAACAAAAAAACAACAAAAACAACATAATAGAACTCTGATCTAGTACTTCACACTGATAAAGAAATAATCCAGTCATACTATCACCTCAAAAGCTTCCTTAAATAGACCCACTGTTTATTTGGCAGTAGAATGAACTCAAAATACACTGCCCCACCCATGTTAACAGTTGCTCGGGTTGGATCATTTTCATAAGGAAACACAAGGGGAAAAACAGGAGCCAAGGCAACTCTGCAAGCCTTGCAAAAGATACAGCTGCTTTAACTATTTGAGAGAGAGAGGCACTTTTTTTTGCAGGAATGCTCACTGAAAAATCCATTTTGCACAGGCCTTGATGGGTTGTGGTATCATCTAGCTATTTTAAAAAAGGAAAAAATCCTACAGAAATTGGGGGGGGGGGAGTTAAAGAATACATTCAACTTTGTGACACCCAAGAGTCAACTCCTCGAAAATCAAGTTCCTTTATTTGAGAATAACATTTCAAAAGAACATTTAGGCACGGCAGAAGCACCATTAAGAGCCAACCCCCTGCTGCCTGCCTGAAAAGTGTGTCTACAGTCTGGGACCTCTTGACCTCTCCTTCTGCAGGAAATTGAGCAAATTCAAACTTCCATGATTTACTTGGGTCTTTTAAACTTCTGTTGAAGGAAGGCAAACAATGCAGGTGATTATCTCAACAGAAGCCTAATTAAATCACTATTATAGAAACAGGGCATGAAATTGATGGTGACATAAAGATAGTTCTTCGCAGAAATGGAAATGTGACAGCTACCATTTGTTTTGCGGATATCCAGTCCTTGAAGAGACCCAATTGAATGTTCATCTAACTTTCCCACTAAAGCAAATGGCGTTCATGATGTAATCATCCATCACTTTCTTTGACAAAGTGCTGACACTCAGCTATGGCTGAGGCAATCCTATCCCATTCCCCCATCAGCTGGCTGATATTCATTACATGAGCCGCAGTAACTGAAGACTGGTAGACCTCTTATTGTGAATCAGTTTGTGCATAAGCCATAACAAGTTGCAACTGTCAACCCTGCAAAAATGATCTCACATTCCTGCCTGTTTGATAGTATCTCTTTTCTGCCAACAGCAAAGGAAGCCAAAGCTCTAGAATCAGAACATGAGGCTGAGAAATCTGATTATTTTTTTTGAGGGTGGATGAAATTAAAAGAAAAAGGTACAGCTCCACAAGAAACAACCTATGGCACATTTCCATAAATTTGCCGTTTAGCAATAATTTAGTTTGTTTAAGATCTGATGAAACTTATTTTTTCTCTTTTAACTGCAGGCAAACTGAATCTATTTAAACACCAGTAAGGGAATTAGTACTATTTCCTTTCTGAAAAATAACAGATTGGAGCTGATTCAAGGAAAAGAGAAAAGCCTATCAGCAAGAAAAAAGAAAACAAGAATTGTGTAGGACTATAATGTGGCATATAATAAGCTAATTTCTTCTGAAAATACCAATGTAATTTTTCTGATATAAACAGCTTAACCATAATAATTGAAGTATTTAAGTTTACCACAATGATAAATAATGATCCTAACGTGGAAATTGCCTGATACATAACAGAAATATCACAGGTAAAATAAAATCTTATACAATTAAAAAGACCCATTGGAGTTTATTACTGGCCATCTTCTTCTTAAAAGTCATCATTTTAACTATCAACTTAAGTCCTTGGGTTTCAATGGCAATTGGGCCCAGATCACTGCATCACTAAGTGATGTGGTTGTAAAGCATGATATCAATCCTGGCAAACCCAATTGCCATTGTAACCCCAGAACTATGCAAGTTGTTAGGTGGGAAGAGGCGGGAGTCCCAGAGGGTTGAGTGGGTGCCATGGCAAGCACTACAGAATGTGGTTGCGTGCATGATACGGCGGGAGGGAACTGATTTTGCTTGTGGGAAGCCAGCAGGGAAGATCACAAATATTGATCATGTAAGTATGAGCTGGTTGCCAAGTTCCTGAGTCACAATCACATGACCATGGAGTGCTGGTCCTAATTCAACACATTGTAACTTTGAATAATAACTTAATGAGTGGTCATAATTCAAGACTGTCTGTACCGCTTGTACTTCATGTATCAAAATCACATGTCCGATGTGAAAGCACTGCAAATCCAAAATTATGAACCAGAATTATTGAACAATGGGAATTCTTGTAGTTGCAATCCTAGCACATCTAAAGATCATTGAGTTAGGGGATGTTGGTGTCAAAAGAATATAAAATCTGGACCAGCTAGCAGAGATGAAGTGGGAAAAATGAATGTACCAGAAAATGAAGAAAGGATGAGAGAGGTATATGAAGAGAAATAGGAGGCACAGGAAAATTTAAAAGAAACTAAAAGTTAAAAGACAGTCAGTCACTTTGTTGTAGTGTTTAAGACACCAGAATAGAAACTGCATTGACTGTGAGTTTTGGTCCCACATTAGGCATCAAGCCATCTGGCTGATATTAGGTAAGACATCCTAGGAAGAAGATAATGGCAAACTCCTTCCAAAAATCTTGTCAAGAAAATTGCAGGGATTAGTCCAGGCAGTTGCCAGGAGTCAACACTGACCTCAAGGAACATTCAGTGCACATTTAAAAAAGGTTAAAAATAGGAACAGTAGAACAAAGTCAGAAGTCTTATTTAGATTTGCTCTTGCCTGACCATGCAGTTACAGCCAATTTTTATGTTGTACATTGCAAAATAGTTTCCTTCAATCCAGATTTCACTAGCAATCTACATCTGATTAGAATTTTAAGGGAAAAAAGACAAAAATAGCATAACAAAATTAAGTGACCAATAAGAAAATTTTAATTTATACATGATGATTACAAATGCTGTTCTTTCATTGGATGTTTCAAGTAAACATTTATCATGTTTCTTATCCACAACTGATCATGAAACATTGACAACTTTAACTTGCTTCAATTCTTCTGTTTGCTAATATCTAAAGTTTGCCATTTTAGAAAACAATTTGATTCAATTGTCATCTATTCTAATAAGCTCTAAAGCAGCGGTCACCAACCAGTAGTCTGTGGATCATTAGTGGTCCGCAAAAAATTTTTGGTGGTCCACAATGAATCCAAGTTGAAGAGTGCTCGGGGATGACCAATTGGCCAGTCCTGTGACTAGAGCTCTGGAGTATGGGACTGGCGAGGCAGCTCATGGTGGGGCTGAAAATCTCCGCCCTAGAGGGTGGTATTTGCAACATGCAACTTTGCAGGGGGTGAAACATTCAAGGAGTAGCACGGCTCTCGCCGGCCAGAATGAGATTATGGTGTTGTTGTGGCAAGGGTGGTAGTGGTACAGGGGACCGAAACAATGGGTGTTGGCAACCCGCAGCTCTTTCGTCTCCCTGCTATGGCTCACTGTTGGCTGAACCCACCAGTGGCTGGCCCCGCCTTTCACCCTCTCCTCCCAGTCACTCCTCGCCTGGCCTAAAAAGGTAATGGGGAGATGGAGACTCGCTCCATATTCCACAGCAGAAGCGACGCACCCATGTATTTGCTTTATCTCTTGCTGAGTCTTGTAGGCACTTCTTCCAGCCCTTGTTTGTGTTGCATGCACTTCGGCTGCTCGGGGAGATGCACAACTTCCTCTCTGCCCTGAGACACTGGCCCGAGTGTCTCAGTGTTGGCGACACCAAGGCCTGCCCACTGTTCTCGCCACCACGGTGGCGACACCAAGGCCTGCCCACTGTTCTCGCAGCACCTTGTGCAGCATAGTTAAATTTAGTGTGCTTCACAATAGGAGAGACAGCGTCCCCTTCTCCTCTTGGAGCCCATTATGACAAGGAGCATTGGCCACTACCGGGTCAGGCGAGTATCTTAGGGCACAAAGCAGGTTGTGCATCTCCCTGAGCAAACAAAGCACCAACAAAGGCCAGAAGAAGCACCTGCGAGACCCAGAGAGCACCGGAGAATCAGAATATATATATATATGTGTGTGTGTGTGTGTGTGTGTGTGTGTGTGTGTGTGTGTGTGTGTGTGTGTACATATATACATACACACACACACACACATACACACACATATATATATATTAGAGAGAGAGAGACAAACAGTGATGAGAGAGAGAGAGATACCTGTTTCCCATAGAAAAGAAAATACCAGGAGCCACAAAACATGGGGAGGCATGGCTGGGGGGGGGGGAATGTGACTGGATGGGAGTGAGTGATGTCGAGTTGGCCATGCCCACCCAGGCTTTGTGACTCCGGGTATTTTGTTTTCTGTGACAAACAGGTCCAAATGGCTCTTTGATTGTTTAAGGTTGCAAAAACAGGTGGCCAAGCTAAGTGCCTGAAACACCCCATCCCATCAGTGGGAGTCCAGGTGGTTCAGTGAATGGCGTGCTGGATTCATATTAGTGCGGGATTTAAAAATATGATTTTTGTGGTCCCTGAGGTCCCCTGATAATCTGATTCACCTTCTTAGGAAGTATTTACCAGTGGACTCAGACTTCAGAACAGTCTAGCTCCAGTAACAAAACCATGTTATTATGTACTTTGATCATTTTCTGCTATACTCCAATACTTGACACAATTCAATTTTATACAACTTAATATATTTTTATTTAGCAGGGGTTCATTTTTCTGTCTTGCAGCAGTTTTCTTTATGACAACAATCTACAAATTTAAGTTCATTAAATGCAGTGATTCTCCAGATGATTATTAAATGATGGGGCATAAACTAAAATTTATTCTACTAAAAATTATCCATAACATTGAGTTACACATTCTGTATATTAGCTCATAATATAAAATTTCCTAAGGATGAAAAAAACTGACATTCCAAGCCTGAAGGTTTGAAAGAATAACCATAGGCTCTGATGACCAACTCAGATTGGATCCTGCAAGTTTATGTTTTAAAAGTTCTGATTTATTTAACGGTGATAATACTAATATCACATCAGGATACTGATTATTAGCCAAATCACATATAAATAAATAATATTGTTTCTATTGTTCTAGTTAAATTACAGTTAAATAAAAACTGGTTTTTATATATCTGACAAATGATTACATTGTCTTAATTTAATAAATTATACACTCATTTTATCGCTTTCTCTCTCTCTTTCTATCTATCTATATATAGAGAAGGGGGGCGGTGTCATGGAGAATAAAATACACTAATACTAATCCTACCATTTTAATACTGGTGAAAACCCTAACTATCTCTTGCAAAGAAACAATGGAATGAAACATTTTTATTTAAAATATATCCTGTGTTTCATGGTCTCATTACCTCCCTGCAATTATTTCTCATTCTACCTTAACTCCTAGGTATATTAAAAGATTTTTCAGATGAAGACTTGGAAAAGCAATTTTTGAAGAGAAAAGAAGGCACCTAGAAGCTAGATAATGTCTGATAAGATAGCTGGTTCTAACTTCATATTGAAAATGTGACATTGTATTTTGCAGACCAACTAATTGAATATCAGTAGAATTATTAATGATTGAGAAATGCCAATGGACTTGAATTATCAGATCAACAGACAATAAAAGCAGATTATATAAATAGAGCTTTGCCATCCCATTCTCAACATTACTTATTTAAAATGTTTGAACTCAAAAAGATTCCCTGACTTCCATTTTAGAAGCCCATTTCCAAATATATGTTCAGATTTTTTTAGAGTACTATTGTTTGCTTGTTTGAAAAATTTGTAAAAGAGGAAAGTTGATTTCCTACTGATGACAATACATACTGCCTACTGCATGTATTTCTAGGCAAACCGAGTTTACTTTCAAGAATCTAATTTTCTGTCATGCCTCTATATAACAACAACAACAAAAACAATTAAAATTCTAAGTCGGGGAAAAGATGAACATAACAAGATATTACACTAACCTTTAGGAAACTAAAATTCAATTCAAGATTAATTCATGTTTTTCATGTTGAACATCATAATATAAAAAACAAAATATTTATTCTAGAAGTTTTTGTTATAGAGAGGTTGAGCATATTAAAATTAATAAATAAATAATCTCACTTACAATTTCTGGGGGATCATTCCATTCTTCATATGATGTTGCAGCATATGGATAGATCCGGTCATTGATAATCTTAAGAGTTGCCATAGCAATAGCTTTCATTGATTGAAAGTAAGCTTCCCAGAACCACCTTGCCTGCAAAGAATAATTAATATTATGTTACTTTGGTTGTTTCCCAGATAGCAAATATTAATCATTTGTATATGGCTGACATACATATAACCTATTAATATTTCCATGTTTCAATCTAAGCTACTGTTATTAAGCTCAATTTGTTTGAAATCAAACTAGATTTAGTCACAATAGCCACATTAAAGATAAAAAAGTAAACAATCTAAAATCTCAATTATCATTCAATTAGTTTAGTAGTTTATTTCAACATATCTATACTGCCTAACTCATATAATTCAAGATGCAATAACAACTTATAATCAATATGTTGACACATTATAGAAGCAACCGTGTACCATGTTCATTTCAAAAATGCATCAGAATAAGTTCAGAGATCTTAATTTGTAGGTATAACAGCTTATTATTTTAGGTGTAAGGTATGAAGCACCACAAGCAGACTTTATTGATCCACAATTGCTAAGGTTTGAGAAACATCTTGTAAAGTTTCTTTTGGAATAATCTGTTCCATCTTGTCTTGTATTATAAGGGGATTGACTTATCCTTCATCTCTTCTATGTATACAGGTAGTCCTTATTTAGTGACTGATGTTGGGACTGGCAACTCCATTGCTAAGTAACATGGTCATAACATGAAATGTGTCCAATTTACAACACCACTTCATCAGTTCCGGTTGGGGGTCATTAAGTGAATCTCCCATGGTGATTAAGTATGATGTCATATGTCCACAACTTGTAACTAGCTTCCCAACTTACTTTGCTTCTGGAAGCATCTATCAAGGTCACAACTGGCAATCGCATAACTGTTGGACACTACAACTATCATTAATGCTAAGTGCAAGAATTGTGACATGACTGTGAGGATATTGAGACACCTGCAACTTTGAGAGACAGTTGTATGCCTCCTTTTCAGCACTGCTGCAATTTTGAAAAAGTGGTTGATACAATCAGTGGTTTTATTACAAAACTTTCAGTAGCATGTTATAATGCTTACAAAGTACAAATTGGAAGAGGGGGGTTAAAATCTCTGGATGCGATCTTTAATTCAACTATAAGTAGGGGTATCTAAATTTTCTCTTACATAACTAGGATCAATATTAGTTTAAGATATCCATAGATTTGGACAAACTGCATGGAATGGTCAATTGTCCTCTGGAACTGTCCCATTCTAATTTATAACTGCTAGTCACACTTTATATAAAACAGGAAACTTCCTTGTTTAAAGGAAGTGATTCTTAAAATAGTGAAACTATTTTATGGTGTCTCTTGAGACTCTATTTAATACTAAAGTTTTTCCATAGTTACTTAAAAGCACTGGAGGAGCTGGGTGCTATTTGTATACTAATGACAATTTGTCACTAATGACAAATTAGTCTATTCTTATAAGTTCACCCTCTCCCAGGAAAAGCAGATAAACAGTTCCAGGCTGCTTCTGAACTTGAATCTCTTTGTGTTTTCCAAATTAAGGCAAGCAGCATAGCATGTTTAGCTTGGCTGATATTAATGGAATCATCTCTTAAGCGCCAAATAGTTTCCCCAGGTAGTTTTGTGGAGATGTTGAACAGTTTGGAAGCAGGATAGCAGCCTAAATATTAAATGTCAGCACTGCTTTCATATTCTAATAAAGCAGGAGCTGTTAATGAATATTCCACCCATTGACGTTTGATATGAGGTGGTGTTGGTGCTCTCTGAACCTGCTTGTTTTCTTGCAGATGTTATCCTCACTAAGTAACATTTCAACACTGAGCTACAAATATTCTCCTTTACTGATGAAGTTTGCTATTTCATACTCTATTGACATAAACAATGAACTGTATGTTAATATTGGACAGTGACAATGTATTCTAAGAGGCTATGCAAACCTATAGACTGTCAGACTAAAACATTTCTCACTGAAAGAAGCATCAGCAGAAACCTATCTACTTAATGTGACATTTATTGAGGCAAATTGTTACATTCTTTAACTATATGCAAAATCTATTACAAGTATTTCATTTCAGAATAAGGAGCATCAGGTTATACCACAGTGTATCTCCAAAATACATGAATACGCCATATTGCACCAATGACAGATGTTCAAGTTAGCAAATCTAAATCAGCAAATATTAAGTTGCAAAAAACAGCAAAATTAAATAGAAACATTAAGCACATGGAAGCTATGTTTAGTCTGGAAAAATCTTTGTTTTTCCTTTAATCACTTACAACTTCTAACTGGGAAGAAAATAAAATGTTAAGAGAAAAGAAGACGATGGCCTTGTGAAAGGGCAGTAAAGTTAACTGTCTAAGCTAAAATGTCAGGCGCCATGGTGTTGTAACATTTTGCCCCACTGCAAGAGTCTAGTGTTTCCAGAGTGACACACTTCACACAGTTTATGAGGCCTTGAAGTATTGCTATTTTCATGTTGACAGACATTGTTTTTAAAGCTTTGCTTTTTAAAATAAATTACAGAGTACTCGTATATATTTTATTACCTTTAGCTCAGGTAGTTCTAGCAGAATTACACTTCGTCCAATTTTTAAAATTAGTTTTGCCTTTAATTTAAGTTTCAGGTCTTGCAAAGAACGTGCTGAATTTAAACTTTTGCTTCTTATTTTTCTAGCCATGAAATTATCAACTTCCCTTCTGCCATTAACAGCATGTTAGTACCCAATATTTAAACAATCTAAATACTATTAAATACATTCTCAAACTTGAATTAGGTGTGCTGAGTATAAATCTTCCAGATTAATATTTTTGGATGACTTTTTAGTTTGTCTATGCAGGCTTTGGAATCAATTAAATGTTTAAATTGACTACTTTGAAATAATTAGACCAGATACATGATGAAAAATAAAGCTCTCTATTATTGACTTTAAACATAAATACAAAGAGCCCAATACTTCCTTCTACACAGATGTATCTAAAAGAAAAAAAATATTCTCAGCTTCGAAACCAACCAAATATACCACTTCTGTAAAGAATTTAACACAACAGTTCCCTAAATAAATTATTTCTTTAAAAAATCTACCAGTCTTCTTTTCACATGATTCTAATGGCCAGATGTTGCTCATCGCATTTTCATGTGGATAAAGTTGAACAACAACTGGACATTAAAACTATTCTTAAGGCTTTTCAATTTTAAGTATATTAAACAGTACTGTTGCCAATATTTGACAAGTTTACATACCAAGCTTACTCTAGTACAGAATTCATTATTGCAATGTATTTAATATAGATCATCTGATCTTAACATTAATTGGATGTAGAAAACAAAGTCTATTATTTTCATTTCTTTTTCCGTTTCAAATTTACAAAGATCACAAAGTTCTTAGTTCAAAATCATTGTATGACCTTTCTAATATTTGTCATACGGGACCACTTTCTATGGCTTCTCCATGAATTGCTGAAATATATCTTGTTCACTAATATGACTCCCAGTGGTGACATTAAGAAGGAAAAATAAAATGCTTTATTACATGAATTTCACTAAAAATCAACAAACTCTGTTTTCTACTTTTTGCATTTTTATTCAAATGGATAACAATAAATAGGCATTATATAATATTGACCAGTTGTATTTGCTTAGGCATACAGCAATGTTAAGACTGATCCATATATTTATGTAAGGACATAAAGTCATTCGCAAATTTAAGACGTAAAAGAATAAGAATGTACACCTGAAAAATAAAAGAATATATCATCTTTCTTCTGAGGGATTTCCTGGTGATAATATAAAGGGCCCATCTTCTCTTTGCCCAATGCTTGTGCTTTCTTAATCATATAAACACTACATACGTACTATAGAAATAGAAAATATTGAGGAGTAATGAACGTATGGGTTTTTTTTGTTTCATTTCGTTTGTTTGTTTTACTGTTTTGCATTTTATTCTCTATGATAAAACAATTAATGATGATAATGATAGAACGACTGTGGCAAAGGAAGCATGAGTAGTACCAATAGTAATAGATGCCATGGGTGCAATCCCAAAACAACTGGAATACCACTTGAACACCATTGGCATTGACAAACTCACCATCAGTCAATTGCAGAAGGCTTTACTTGGAACAGAGCCCATCCTGCAACAATATCTGTAACACCATCAAACATCCAGATTTGCCTATCCCAGCTCCTTGGTAAGCACTCAATAGGTGGACAGAGATGCCAAACCCAGTCTGAACATCTGGCTGACTGTGTTGTTGCTGCTTCTGCTTCTTTTTTTGTTGTTGTTATTGTTGTTATTATTCATCGCACAGTCAGACAGATGTTCAGACTGGGTTTGGCATCTTTGTCTACCTATCAAGTCCTTACAAGGACCTTGGAAGGCAAATCTGGAATTTTTGATGGTGTTACAGATATCGTTGCAGGATGGAAGCAGTTCCAAGTAAAGCAGCCTTCTGCAATTGACTGGTGGCAAATTTGTCAATGCCAATGGTGTTCAAGTGGTGCTCCAGTTGCTTTGGGACTGCACCCAAGGCACCTATTACAGTTAGTATTACCCTTGCTTGCTTTTGCCATAGTCTACTTCTCTTTGTAGGTCTTTGTAGGATTTTGTTATTTTCTCCAGTTCTTTTTCTTCTATTCGCTGTCTCCAGGCACATCCACATCCACTATCCAGACTTTTTTGTCTTTCTTATCGACAACTGTTAAGTCCAGGGTGTTATACAGCAGGTGCCTGTCTGTCTGGATTCCGAAGTCCCAGAGCAATTTAACTTCTTCATTTTCTATGATTTTTTTCTATTTTACAGTACCACCATT